ACTGATATTTTTGTTTTACTCATTACCATCTTTTCCTTCCAGCCTGAAGAACTTCCTTTAATATTTTTTGCAAGCCAAGTCTAGTGGTGATGACCTCCTTCAACTTGTCCTTATCTCTGCTTCCTTTCTGAAGGATAGCTTTGCTGGGTATAATACTCTTACTTTGTAATGCCCCTCCCTTCCCCCCAGCTATTTGAGCATATCATTTCACTTTTTCCTGTCTGTAAGGTCTCTGTGATGTACTGCTAGGCATACTGAAATTGTCTGGTATGGGATTTGCTTCTTGGTGCTTCCAGAATCCTTTGACTTTTGACAATTTCACGTCATGGAATAACCTTATTTGGAAGACACCTGACCTTCCTGTTTGTGTATTTCCAGATTTGAAGTTTTCTAGTGTCTCTTTAAGGTTTCTACCCCTTTATCTTTCTCTACGGCTTCTTGAACAGCCTCATAATTTCCTCTTTTCATGCTATTTCCTAAATCCATGAAACTTTTCTTTTTTTCCCTTCTCCTTTTATATTTTTAGGTAACTTGTCTTTGAGTTCACAAATTTTCTTCCACTTTAACAATGCAATTTACTGTTGTTTTTTATTAAGCTCCTCTGCCAAACTTTTAGAACTGTTTTTCTTGAAGTATTTCCTTAAAAAGAGGTACTGTACAGTATTTTGAAATATTAATTCTCCATTTCTTTAAGATCAGTCATTGGCATGTTGTTTTCTGTACTTCGTGCTGTTTCCCTCACTGTTTTGATTCTTGTAGTTATACACCACTGTCTGTACATTGATGGTGTCTTTAGCTTTTGCAGCCAAGCATGTCATTCAACAGTAAGCTTTTCCAAAAGTTCCAGGCAGGGTCTTTAATTATGATCCCTATTCCTATAACGTTAGCTGCTAAAACACTAGAGGACAACCTAAACCTAGAACTGCCACAGTAGATGCTGCACCATCCTAGGATCCAATCACCTGACTGTTGAGGTCCATCTGTTGCTGTTATTGAGACCAAGACCACTGTACTTAGCCAGCAATGATGCAGGATGAAAATCAGTCCATCTTGCTGTGGCTACTGGTTCCCATGTGGCATTGCAGTGACTCTAGAGAATCCATTTGTGTATACCATCCTCCAGTCAGTGGCCTTAGGGGTCTTTTGGGGGTAGGGGGGGAGGAATGAGTTTTACTGTGGCAAGTGTGATAATGGGTTCCAAGACAATGTTGTATGCTCACAGTACCTCTCCATGCTATGCTGCTTAGGTTTGGGGCAAGAGTGATCTCCAAGTAATACAAAAATCATTCTTCCTACCCTCTTCAATGCATCTTTTATTATGCTATAAGCAAGGCCTGCTTTCTTATCTGGCTTCCTTGATTCACGTGAAAGTACTTTCATGCATGAATAACTGCTTAATAGATGTTTCTTCTGGGAATATTAAGAGTCCTTTTTGCCATCTTACTCTGTCCCTTTCCCAGTAATTCAATTCTGACATTCAGATGGCTTTGAATGGTAGCTTTCAGAAATTTACAAGTCTTTTTCTAAGACCTGATTCAATTTCTTTAAAGTTGTGATTTCAGAGTACATCAGGGAAGATTCACTTTCAGCACGATGAAGCAAGAAAGGTAATAAATCCTTTCCCTTTAAAAAAAATGAAATTCAAAGCTTGAAAAACTATCAAAAAATGATTTTAACACTTTAGAATTCAACAGAAGACTTAACAACAAAGTATAACATTTATGCATGACAAGCACTGACGCTCAGTTAAGAACAATGAAGTCTGTGATAGTCTTACCCACCTAGGGCTGCTCCTACCCCATGGCAACTCTGTAGGTGCAATGGTTCAACCAGAACAAAGACAGATGTTATTAATAAAGTTTGTTCCACAGCTAAAAATAACTCAATTTGATGCACTGTAAGCTAAATTTGTGCTTTTAGTGATAAGCAGTTCATTAACCTGAAGTTGTAGTCCTGTTTGAAGCAAACAAAAGATGGAAGGGTTTGAGATTTCTGGGAGGTAAGAAAACCACAGGAGCTTAGCACTTCACATATTCTAGGTTTACCATAAGCACAGGAAGCAGAAAACACTGAAGCCACCACATACCCTTGGTTGGGAAACCCTCTGCATATGGAAAGGCAGAAAAGAAATAGCTCAATAATAATCAAAGGCCAGGGAAGACTTGAATATACTTGTCACATCATGCATAGATCAGCAGGAAGCAGAGGGCTGAAAAAATGGAAAGGTTTAAGCACAACCCTTGACCAGTCTCTTAACTGCTAAGCTAAACACAGCAGCTAATACTTAAGAAACCAGACTGAAAAATAACAAAAAAACTTAGCAAAGCTGTCAGTATCTGTGTACAATGCAATGGAGACAGACCTAGTTGAGGCTAGTAACTAAACAGTCAAAAGAACGATGGTGGGGGGAATAGAATATTTGCCATTTATCTATTTGATATTGAACAAAAGATGACCAGGCGGGGCCAGGGATTTAGCTTAGTGGTTCTGGCGCCTGCCTCGCAAGCGCAAGGTCCTGAGTTCAATCCCTGGTACCAAAAACAAAACAAAACAAAAAAGGACCAGGCATACAAAGAAACAAGTATGACTCTTAAGCATGGCATGTTCACAGAATTAACAAAATTATCTTGATTCAATAAAGAAAAAAGGTTCAAACTAATTCAAAACACGCAAGACTCAAATGAAAATCTGGGTGCTAAAAAATGTATAAAATGAAAAATTCAGTAGATGTGAAGTAGCACCAGAAAGATCAGTGAAATTGAGTAAAAAAATCAACTGAAATTACTCAACCCATACAGGAGGGGAAAAAAAGAGAAAAAACTGAACAGAGCCCTGGAGAGCAGGACATCAAGTATACCAATACATGTATAAAGGAAATTATGGAATAAAAAAGGACAGAGCCAGGGATGTAGCTCAGTGGTGCCACACCTGCCTAGTAAGTGCAAGGCCCTGAGTTTGATCCCTGGTACCACCCAAAAAAAGGACAGAAAAATGTATTTGAAGGAACAATGGCCAAGAATCTCTAAAATCTGATAAAAAACAATCTACTTCAAGAAGCTCAACAAACCAAAAAGAAGATAATCATAAAGAGATCTGCACCTAAAAATATCAAACTGTTAAAAGACAAGGCCAAGAAAAAAATCTTGAAAGCAGCAAAAACAAAACGAACTATCAAATAAAGACTAAAAATGTTTTAACAGCTGACTTCTCACCGAAAGTAATGAAAGTAAGGGTGTGCTGGGATGATGGACTCAAAGAAAAAACTGTCAAGAACATATATCCCCAAAAACCTGTCCTTAAAAATAAAGGCAAGCAGGCCAGGGATTTAGCTCAGTGGCATTGCACCTGCCTCACAAGTACAAGGTGCTGAGTTCGATCCCCAGAAAAATAAAAATAAAGGCAAGGGTGGAGCAGCAACACAAGCTTGTAATACCACCTACACGGGACGCTGAGACAAGAATGAAACCGTCTCAAAAAGGGAAGGGAATGTAGCTCGGTGATAAAATGTCAGGAAAAATAAAAAACAAAAGGCAAAATCAGACATTCCAGGATGAAGAATGAGGATTTAAGACTCCTCAGTTTGCAACATGTATAGATATAACACACATGATAACACCAGGACATGGATATATACTGAAACAAAGTTCTTACATTTTACCAGAATTGTTTGCATCAGTCGGAAGTAGGCTGTAAGATGTATACTGTCATGTTTAGAGCAACCACTCAAAAAATATAGTATCTCAATACAAAAAGAAAAATCAACAACTGAATTGATACTGAAAAACAGTATTTATTTTAAACAAAGTAAGGTGAAGAAAATAGAACGGAGAAACCTTTTTAGCTATGAAGCAAACAGTAAACTACCACAGTGTTTCAATATTATAGATGAGCTGGATGTGGTGAGTATGTGCCTGTAATCCCAGTGCTAGGGAGATGGAGGTAGGACTGCTGCGAGTGTGAAGCCATCCTGGGCTACATAGTGAGTTCAAGGCCAGCTTCAACTACATAGCAAAACCCTGTCTTTAAAAAACCAAAACTATGGGCTAGGCATATACCTCTGCGGTGCAGTGCCTGCTTGGTGAGTGGGAGGCCCTGAATTCAATTCCCCGTACCAAACAAAACAAAATATAGATGAACCAAAAAAAATCTCACTGAAATGGCAGAGTCAGACTGTATAAAAAGCAAAATCCATCTAATACAAGACTTTCATTCAGAATATATCATCAGGGGACAAAAGATCCAACAGACATGTCTCTAAAGATACAAGTTCAGAGGGCTGGGGATTTATAGCTCAGTGGTGCCGCCACCTGCCTCGTAAGCGCAAGGCCCCGAGTTCGATCCCGGTTACCAAAAAAAAAGATGTAAGCTCAGGAGAGGATGTTCAGCATTACTAGGGACATGCAAATTAAACTGTAGATTTAATTTAGGTGAGTGCAGAATTTGTATAGATTAATTTGGATGTGAGTGGTGTGAAATACCACTTCATAGCCATTAGAAAGGGTATAATTAAAATGATTAATGAATTATTAAGAATGCGATAAAGGATATGAGAAAATAACTCTCATACACGCCTGGCTAAAAAAATAAAATTGTACAGTCACTTTCTTTAGAAGTTACACATAGGGCTGGAGATTGAGCGCAGTGGTTCCGTTACCTGCCTTGCAAGCAGAGGGATCCAAGTTCGATCTCCGGTACCAAAAAAAAAAGTGTTACACACACTATAACATGACAGAAATTTGGGAGACGACAAAAAATGTTCTAAAACCTGCGTGTGGTGATGATGTCATATCAATCAATCAATCTTTAAACTTTACATTCACAACTGATGACTTTTATAGCACGTAAACTATATGTCAATAAATCCATTGATAAGTCTGATTAGGTAAGAGATTATCAGTGTTTCATATGTATGTATGTATCTACATATATGCAGACAAATATAAGGAAAGACAGCACACAAAGATTAAGTGCAACAAAAAACAAGGAAACATCATTGATAAATCTGAATCAAGGGTGTCCCTGTATTATTCTGGCAATGTTTCTCAGTTTGAAATCACAAAGAAATTTAAGGTTACCAAAAGAAGGTCAAGAATCACATAATTAACTCATCCATCTTCTTCAACAAAGACCATATGCAGCTGAAGTTATTAGAAAACTGTAGTTAACTTTAATAAAATCGCTTCAAGGAAATGAGTGTAAAAGCAACACGATGGACTCTAAAAACTCACAGTAAATCCTGTAATAATCCTGTGTTCATAATCACAAAATCAGGATGAAAAATAAACACATCCTTCCATTTCTAACCCAGGGTGACTCAAAAGCTCATTTTGAAGGAGAATGGGTTTTTGGTTTAATTTTGCTTTTGAGATTAAGCCTAATTATAAAATTATTCAGAATAAAGTTAACTTGTTTATTTAACAAAATACTGTTGCTTTGAAATAAACTTCATTCATCATGACAGTAATCTTAAAAAAAAAAGGATATGAACATGCATGTTGTACTTTTAAAAGGTTATAATCATTTAAATTCTGATTTATCTTTGTGTTTATAATTCTCTACTCTTGCATGCTTTAGAAAACATTTTATATGTGGGCAACCTGTGGCATAATTCATTGCATCTGAATGACATTTCCATGACAGATGTAAAAACAAGATTTACACTCAACTGTGGTGATGTGTGATTATAATTCCTGGTATTTAGGAGGCTGAGGGAGAAGAATCACAAGTTCAATGTCAGCCTGGGCAACTTAGAAAGACCTTGTCTCAACATAAAGTTTAAAAAAGGCTGAGAGCTCAGTGGTAGAGCACCTGCCTAGCAAGCTCGAGGCCTGGATTCAATCAGTACCACCAATGGGGTCTGGGGGTGGATGGTTTAAAAAAAGCATCACTTCTTTACCAAAAAGAAATGTTATTGGGCCGGGGATTTAGCTCAGTGGTTCTGCTGCCTGCCTCGCAGGCACAACAAGATCCCAAGTTCGATCCTTGGTACCAAAAAGAAAAGAAATGTTACTATCAAGAGATAATAATTCTTAACATCAGCCTGCAAATTAAAAATACTTACCAGGAGCTAAAGGTACAACTTTTAATTCATAACCATGGAGTAAACAATGATAAAATCATTATTTACTTTCATCATAATAACTGATTGACATTTCTCAAGCTATTTCTAATCCTAATAGTTCTTTATTTTGTAAAACATACTTGCAGTAGGTTGCTCATCTGCAATAGATGTCATCATGGGAGTAAGCAAAGTAAGACACTGTGACAAAAAGCTGACAAAGTGCCCTGCACTTATCATCCCAAGGCAAGGATGAGGGGGAAGCAGTGTGAAAGACTGCTGCAATGACTTATGTTCTCGCAATAAAGCCAGCAGTGCATCCGTGTCAAGTTATCATCTCACTTCCAACTTCTTCCCCTCAAGAACAATTTGAATTTCTTTGGCATCCAAAGTCTCATAGGTCAATAAAGCTTCTGCTAGATTCTTATGCTCTTTTGCATGAGTTTTCAAGATATGTTTTGCTCTTTCATATGACTCCTGAAATAGAAAAGCAGACATGTTAAGGAGAAAATGTAGAGGAAAAAAAGCCACACAGGCAATGAGAAAAGAAATAACTATATAGCTTTAAAAATCTATTCACTTATTTTTTTAAAAAAGCATTTAAAAGCCTGATTCTACAGTACAGTTAATTTCAGCACAAATAGTACATGGAAAGGTTGTGGTTTTTTTGGTACCAGGGATCGAGCTTGGGTCCTTGTGCTTGCGAGGCAGGCAGCAGAACCACTGAGCTAAATCTCTGGCCCCTGGAAAGTTTGTATAATATAAGGACTTAGAAAATGTTTCAGAAGTCTCTGCCTTCCCACAGCACCTTCTACCTTGAGTAGCCAAAACCTGGCTCCTCACGGCTGAGACTGATTTCCCTAAACTCTCAAACACTGTTTATTTGCTCTTATCCAAGACACTACATTGTCAGCACTTTGAGCTGTTTTTTTTTTTTTTTTTGGTACTAGGGATCGAACTTGGGACCTTGCGCTTTCAAGGCAGGCACCGGAACCACTGAGCTAAATCCCCGGCACCACTTTGAGATCATTAACACATCATCCTTTAGAAAGAAACCAAACCATCTGACTCGCTGCCCTATCCAATTCCCTACACTGTTTCAAATACCCTAACCACATTCCTCATTCACTGAAGATGTAGACCCTCAGCACATTATTTTTCTCCATTCCAAATCCAAGGGGAACACATAACCAACCTTTCCATTAAGAACCAAACACAAGGGCCGGGGATTTAGCTCAGTGGTTCTGGCACCTGCTGCACAAGCGCAAGGACCCAAGTTCAATCCCCGGTACCAAAAAAAAAAAAAAAAGAACCAAACACATATTTGGTTTGAGGTTGAAACCTTCACTACAATGCTTCATATTCAATATATATAAAAATGAACTTAAGAAAAAGGAACTCATGGCCTACTCACCACCCCACATTAGCCAAGACTTCGTCTCCAGTTTCTCCAGTGAATGACACAAATAATTATACAGCTGCATGAGGCAGTTATTAAAGATTTACCTGCTCTCTTAACCGTCACAAAATATCACAAAAACACTGATTCTACTACAACAGTATCTCTTAAACCCATCCATGTTCAATTCTATTTTCGGCATCTTAATCCAAGCATCCATGAAATGCCACAGTACCTACTAGCTGAACTCCGAGTTTACTCTCATTCATGTGGCAGTTACTAAGTGTCAACGTGAGTAGGAACGCCCAGTTGAATCGAGTCAGCATGGTTCTGTTCCAAGAAGACCCACTTTAAGAGAATTGTGGTTAGCCAGGGATTTAGCTCAGTGGTTCTGGCGCCTGCCTCGCAAGAGCAAAGTCCCGAGTTTGATCCCCAGTACCAAAAAAAAAAAAGAGAGAATTGTGGTTAGAGAAACGGTGTAAAAGGAGAACAGGAGGGAAGGGTTTCAGCCGATTCTCCTTGGAAGAGCTTCATTGCAGCTTACTATTTTCCTCGGAGAAGCTCAGGCGGTTCTCTGGAGGGCAGGGCCTTGCTGTCACTCAGGATGGCTGCTATGCTCTGCAGGAGCTGTCTTCACCTTCCCCTGGGTGTCTTGTCCTGGATTTCTGCACAGGCTCTTCAGCTTCTCCTGCCACCCTCCTCTCCCCGCGCAGACCCTTCCATCTTCCGCAGAGGACCCTTGGGCCTCCTCATGTGAACTCACATAGGACGATGCCGTGGGCTCCAGGCCTTTGGCTGGATCCTTCAGAATTCTAGCGTGAACAGCCCTCTTGCACTCTTCTACACTGGACTCTGGGTGGCCACTGTGGGCCCCTTTCGTAAGTTTCTGTGTCTTGCATCAAATCTGATTCAGAGCATGTGGAGTCTTTTGAGGAGCCTCGCCCAGCCCTGCAAGCTCTTGTAAGCACCAATACGGCATCCCTTTTCCCTAATCCGTGCGGGACAATGCAGCCAAAAGGTCCTTCGCTTTGTTAATTCTGCTTTATGAGCATATCCAACTGCCAATAATACTTCTACAAGCATATATGTGAGAAAGATTCAGTAAACAACAGCCCTCATTCTATCACCTCTTAGGATTCTGTTGCTAAATTAGAACTGAATTTTACTTAGCCTATGGTCAAAATAAAATAAGGACCCAAAATTCAGGAAAAGGGGTTTCTTATTAACATATATAAATCACTGCTGCAAAACACACCTGTTTTTATTTTCAAGAGTGTTATTTCTACTGAACACAGAGCTTTCACTGTCATCACTTCTGTTTTGCTGTTTGTGGTGCTACGGATCAAACCCAGGGCTTCAAACCTGCTAGGCAGCTGCTCTACCACTGAGCTACATCCCCAGCCACTGTTATTTCTTTGTTTTGCTTTTTTGTTGTCTTTTATTTGACACAGACTCTCACTATGTAACCAAGGCTGGCTTTGTTTTTTTTTTTTGGTACCGGGGACTGAACTGGGGTCCTTGCGCTTGTGCAGCAGGCAGCAAAACCACTGAGCTAAATCCCTGGCCCTCGAGGCTGGCTTTGAACTCGTGGTGGTCCTCCTGCCTCAGCCTCCCAAGTACTGGAATTATAGGCATGTCCCACCATACCTGGCTCCTTATCATTTTTAAAGTACAGTAAGTCCCCACCTTATGAACAATTGAGTTGTGAACTTTCAGATGTGAATGGACCTCACATTATGAACATTCATAGATGGCAAACAAATCATAGAAGTACCCCATGCATCTGTTGGACACTGTCACAGTTGTGCTGCTGTGTGCTTACTGTACAGTGCAATAGTATAAAGTAGCACAGTATAGTCGGGGACTTAGTAAATTTAGTTTTTTTAATGCTTTCCATTGTACATTAGTGTCAAAGGTGTATATCACTGACTTTGTCAGACTTATGAACGAATCTGACTTACGAATGTTTTCCTAGAATGGAACTTGCTCCTAAATCAGGGACTTACTATGCCTATTCAGGCACCTTATCTCTAAAAGAAGTAAGTTCAGACACATAATACTATTACCCTTAGAAGGATTCTTATTTCTTGTTCAATGGCAGATTGAGTTTCAGGACTCAGTTTCCCTGTGTCACTGTAAGTCATAACTCCAAGCTAAAATCAAAGAGAAGAGAGTAATTGAGCAGGAAAGCCCAAAGTGCCAAAGAATTTAACAGAGAAAGAACTAGCCTATATACAAGAAAACAAATATCATGGGAGGGGAGGAATATCAAAATGCTTTTCAGGCCCAAGAAATTTTATCCTACTTTTGAAACTATAAAGACTAAAATCAAAACACTAAGTGTAAACAAGACAGAAAAATTTCAAATCATTCAAGTCTGGTTCTTATTGCATTCTTAGAAACCCTGTGTCCAAATCCAAAAATTCATAATTCAGGTATAGAAGTGCTTGATAGAGCCACAGCAATAATGTGGAAATACGAAATATATAGAAAAGGTAAAAGTAAGGGGGCTCAGGAAGTAGGTTTTTAATCCCATATGAAAAGGCTAAATTACTCTTTTTAACACTTGGTTAATTCATGAATAATTACTATCTTTCTAATTCTGAGCAGCTAAGAGAATGCTATATGTTTGCTACTCAAAGTATTACTGCAACACTGTTTAGAACAAACAATCTCAAATGCATTTGGAATGTGACTAGGAAAAGTAAATGTTACTAATAATCAGATCTCTCAAATGGTATATCATTTGATAAAAGAAAATGATTAAAACTATTACCTTCTCACTCATTCCAAATTTGGTAACCATCCGCTTAGCTATTTTTGTTGCATTATCAAAATCACTGGAAGCACCTAGAAATTTAAATGTACAACTCAATTTTTAAAAAAATCTTTCAACCCACAAACACAAGTTAAAGTAAAGCCACTGTCTGAAATCAACCTGTTGTAATATGGTCAGTCCCAAATATAAGCTCCTCCGCCACTCTTCCTCCCATGCTAACGTCCATCTGTGCAAGTAGCTGGGCTCTGGTCTCATTCCACCTGTCATTCTCGGGCAACAGAGACACCTAGACAATTGAAAAGTAACCAGATAAGAGCCAAAGAAATTCAGATACAGTTCTAAATTACATTAGAAACCAGAAGCATCATTCAACTCTCACCACAGATAGTATTTAATACAATGACGCTGAAAGGTGAAAGATGTTTGCAACTCAACAGGTGACTAATGACAAAAGCAGCAGTTATTTTATTTTATTTTATTTTATTTTATTTTTTAATTTGAGACAGGCTCTCACTGTAGTATAGGCTGGCCTTGAGCTCACTATGTAGTCCAGGCTGGCCTCGAACTCTGACTGATCCTCTTGCCTCAGCCTCCTGAGTGCTGAGATTATAGGTTTGTGCCACCACGCCCGGCAAAAGCAGCAACTTAGACAATAAGAAAAGTTATGAAGTCAAAGCGCTTTTTACAAGCAATAGGTGGGCAATGATGCAATAGGACTGTTTCATTCCCAATTACATAAAAAGGTTTAAAATGTCATATACAGTAATGCAAAGTTGAGAATAAAACTTGTACTAAATGAAAAAAAATCTTAGAAAAACTATGGAACTAGTCATTGTGACACATAATTTCTCTTTCCAACTAACAGAAAAATGAGATATTTAATTAGAGCCTGCTGGGCCTGGGATTTAGCTCAGTAGCATCGTGCCTACTGCTCAAGCGAAAGGTCCTGAGTTCGAACCCTCGTACCAAAAGAATTAAAAGCTTGCTATCAGTTCTTATATTTTATAATATAAAAAAAAGACTGCCATAAAAAAAAAAACAAGATACAATTTTACTTAATATAGTATGACCCTTCACATATATAACTAGGGAGTGCTAGATATTTTGAGGATCATGGGATAATGGAAATACAGTTCTACTACCTCATCAGTGAACACAGTTTACATATATGTAAATTTTAGATGTTTGGGGTATATAGCTCAGTAGCAGGATGCACACTTAGTACACATAAGACCCTGGGATCAATCCTCAGCACTGCAAAAAAAAAAAGTGAATTTTTGATATTTTCTTTACATT